AAGTGTCTTCTCTGACCACAGTGGTATAAAACTAGTGTAATATTGCTTTTTCTCATTAAATTCATTTGCTGGGGAATTCTAGTCATTTGTCCTGCAGTTTCCCACCCACTACACTTTACTGATTGTATTCCTGTGTTGTAATCTGTAGTCTCATTCCATCTTCTATATTTTCTCGAAATTGGTAGCCTGATATTAATCAGAAGTTCTCCAACTGTATGATCTCAAGAAACTTTTAGTTCTTAAAAATTATTCAAGATTACAAAGATTTGTTATTCATTTGACATATATATAAGGTTTTTCAAAATATTCATTTACTAACTCATTTTGATCGTTTTCAGAAAACGTCAACAAAATATGCCCTTATGCGAATAACAAGCTTATCTCTGTCAATTTTTCAAGCAAAAATTGTGTTCCATTAAAACTGCAGTTTAAAACTGCTACAAACACTTTTTCTCAATACAACCACTCTATTTTATTATGCAAGCTTCAATTTTAGTCATACAGAATATTCAAAGATTTGAGACTTACTGAAATTAATTATTTTACTGTTTCATCAAGCTCATCAAGGACATTTTTAAGTAAAACTATATTTTTTGTTTCTTGCAAGTGTATTAATATGAAGAACACAGGTTGATGCCACTGCGTTGATGAATGCTGACACACCAGAACTTTTACCGACCTTTGCTCTTGTTCCATCAATGCAAATGTTAACACAGTACAACAAGACACTTTGGTATAATCATCAAAATTACAACTTCATGGTTCCCCGTGGTATCTTGAAGACCCGCATCAACTACACATCACGATCTGAGAATGCCACTTTGAGGTATCAAATTGCCAATTCAGAGTTGAACTGAACTGAAGAACTATTTCTCAGTCTACCCACAGTGAGATGACTGCGAAAAGCAAGTGTGTTTATCTGTTGTTCCTTACATCCTGGCTTTGCCTATTGACTTCTAAGACTGCTGCAGTAATGTCCCGGAACCACTGCTCCTTCCCTTCATTTCAGTTGTTACTTTTTCTTCAGCAAATGCTTGGTTCTCATCAATAATTCCAATTCCTATACCCACCCAATTTTTACCTACTATTTTTTCTTATTTACTCGTAAAACACAAGGTTTAAAGAAACAAGTATACGTACTGAAAAAGTAAAACATTTATACAAATGACTACAGGAGTGAGATCCTGACAGATTGCCAGAAATAAGCTTCTGACGTTTTCCTTGTGTATCCAATGTCACAATATTTTATAAACTAAGTAACATCAGAGTTTGTGCCACAGGGCTACCTTCATCCCCGGGAGTTATCAGTACAAGGATTCTGGGCATGGGAGGAGAAAGTCCAAACTTCACTTGTTCCTCAGGGAAGTGCTGGCCTGCTTACAGGAAAGAAGTAATATCTGAAGTAATTCCCAGCCGTTACCAGGAAGTCTACTCCTCAAGGTGAGAATCTCCTTGAACCAATGCCAAACCCTTCCTCATGATCTCAGTCCTGACTCCAAATTTCTGTTACTCATTTCAGTGCCCCTCCTTCAGGTCTCCTTATAAAAGCCTGGCCCTCTATGACTTGACCAACCATCTCAGATACCTGCAAAACAGGTAAGTAGGAGCTGAGAGAAGAAGAGATACAACATATATGTTACAGGAGAATTGTAGTTTTAAGAACATAGGAACTCTGAGACTAAGCTAAAGGAGGTCTGAGAAGACTCAGGGTGGGTATAGTGTACAGATTCTCCAGGTTTTTGCAGACTTCTAGAATGGGATGGATGTCGCCGGATTCAATTTATTCCTAGGGGACAACGGAAAAGACAAGAGGGAGAACAGAGGGCTCTCTGCATGCACCCTCTCTGACCACACTTCTTTAATGATCTCTGATTACTTCTTCAACTCATAGACACGATGCTGTTCTCCATGGCCCTCCCCAGCATGTCCTGGATGCTGTTCTCCTGCCTGATGCTTCTATCTCAGGTGCAAGGTGAGATTTCACTGCTTCTAACATTGGGTTCCCTGTGAATACTCAGGGCCAAGAGGAGGGGGAAGCCTCCTGTGTGATGCATGTTGCAATGGTGAGGTACATCCTCACACAATGAAATTGCCTGCATTCCTCCATCGTCACTTCTTCCTTTTGGGTAACTAGTGGTGGGAGGCACCACAGTGGTCCATTAACAATAAAATGAGGTAATTTTCATGTTGTCAGTAGACTTTAACTTATGTTGGCAGGGTGAAAAGAGAAAGCATGTAGGGTCAGTAATGAGATAAAGGGAAGGAGAATGGTTGGAGGAACCAGCGTGGGAACAGTCTGCTCTGAGTGGAGAAAGTGTTGGACTTTTGAATAAAGGGGAAGGGTGTAAAGAAAAGGGATGGTCCTTTATTTGATGGGCTGGTTCCAGATCAAGTAACCCTGAAAGTGTTGGCAATGGTAAGAAGTAGACAAGAGATTAGTCTCTCAACCACAAGCCTGACCTCATAGATATTTCCCTAAGATCACCTTCCAACCCCAATTCTCACTCTTCATTTCACTCCGTCTTTCTCCTCCATTTCCTTCCAACCCAGGTGAAGACTCTGAGACGGGACTTCAATCTCCAAGGAGACGTTGTCCCCAAGGGTCCTATGCTTATCGCTTCTACTGCTATGCCTTTTTTACGACACCAAAATCCTGGATAGAAGCAGATGTGAGTAATTGCACTTGCAATTGGGAGTAAGAGGTGGAAGTACAATTGAGATCAGAGTGAGAGAAAGTGGTCTCCATCCACACTTTTTTTGAGAGTGAGAATGAGCACCCTAATCTTTTGCACACGCACACCTCTTCTCACCTGCCTAAGCCCTATCCTCCACCAGTGATGTCTCTAGCTCCTCCTCTGTCTCTCCCTTCCCCACACAGGTTGCCTGCCAGAAGCGACCCTCAGGAAACCTTGTGTCTGTTCTCAGTGAAGCTGAGGCATCCTTCCTGGCCACTATGACCAAGAACAATTTGAACATCAACTCAAACGTCTGGATTGGAATTTATGACCCCACACAGGTACAATAACATCTCTCTGTTATCTCTGAAGCTGCTATGGCCACTCAGACCCACTCCCTGCCCCCTCTGCCTGCCCAGGAAATACCCTACAGTGTTCTGGAGCTCAAAGAATTGTGGGAATGTTTGGGGAAAGGGGAGGGCCTTGAAGTGAGCTGAAAAGATGAGTTTTGTGGAGGATCCTAATCTCCAGTTGAAGTTATTCTGCCTCAGGTCGACCTTTTTACACAATTCACACACGGTGCCTTGTAATTCAGTGCTCTGAGCTTCACTGAGTCTACACATACTGTGCTGAGGAATTCAAAATGAAGATAAGAAGCAGAGCTGACATTGTCTTTAAGGTTCCGAGGGTAATCACAAATGCACCACTGATTTTTGTTCAGCCAGTAACATTACTCTAAGTGGTACCATTAGTCTTAGTAATTATTGGCTTTGTGATTTGCCAGTAGGAACAAGGAATTAGGGAGTGTTTCCCAGAGCGGAGCCTGTGGCAGCATCTGCATGAGCAGAACAAATTTCATGATGCTGAGGAAGGGATCAGATATCCAGCTGAGGGGAATTATTCAAGGAGTATCTAATGGTCATTCAACCTCGCCTGGCTCCATCCTCTGCTCTATAGGGATATGAACCCAATGCTGGTGGCTGGGAGTGGAGTAGTAATGATTTGCTGAGTTATGTTGCCTGGGAAAGAAATCCTTCCACCATCTCAAACCCTGGCTACTGTGGGAGCCTGTCACGAACCACAGGTAAGAAAAAGTGAAGCTAACTTCTGGACAGCCTTTCATTCCTTTCGTTCCCCCATTTCTGGGTCTGTCTTCAGGGAATCCTCCTGAGGTGGGAAATGCAACATAGGTTTGCTCCTCCCATCCCCTCTCATCTCTGCTCTATTTGAGTCTCCTCACCGTAGAGCAGCGGTTCTCAACCTGTGGGTCGTGACCCCTTTGGGGGTCAAACAACCCTTTCACAGGGGTCGCCTAAGACCATTGGAAAACAAAAAGATATTTACATTATGATTCATAAAAGTAGCAAAATTACAGTTATAGAGTAGCAATGAAAATAAT